AGGTCTCTAGAAATGTGCGTATAATTGTGAATTATATTCGTCTTTCGTGTTTAAAACGTTTCTATCCGCAAAGTTCGGGCATAACTGTAAATTATTGTCCGCGTTTCTTATATCACAAAATGAAATGAAAATAAGTATTTTAATTAAAGGTGAATTAGAAGAAATTTCTTCTACACTTATACTAATCTAGTGAGACAATGCGACAGTGAAGATAAAAACAAAGTGAATGAATGAAATTAATAATTACATTAAAGAGATACTTTTTCACAAATTTGGATGAATCATTTCCAGTCAAAACTTTTGCACATCTATAGCTAACGCAAGCAGTTGCAGATGGAAATATTAAATCTGTTTGATAATAGTCTAGAGTATTCTACGGGAAAAATCAAAGTTATCATCAATTTCCATTGGAAATGGGCCTTCCAAATCTATAAAACAATATTCCTTCCAGATATCACTGTTTAGTCCCGGACTGTACTGTAACAAATTTAATGTATATCCTGAGAAAATCTTCAGTAAATGATCAAAAACTATTTCATGTTGAACTGAAAATCTGAAATTTACCTTTCCGTTTATTTGGACAGGTGAAACCTAAGCGAAAATCTAAATACATTTTCCCTTTACAGTCAAGTAAAATGAGATAGCAGAGTTCAGTGAGCAAAGGTCATTCCACAATTTATTTTCAAATTTGCACCTACTATTAATCATCTCGTTTGACTCATGTACATGTAGAGATATAAAAAATAGAACGTTGCGTGAGTTCTGGGGAGATTGGATATTCGAGACTAGGAAAATCACACCCTGAAACAGCGTATACCCAAACATATGAATGTAGAGTTGGCAACCTTTCCTCGAATAAACACAAAAAAAATTTTGCCGTAAGTTTTCGGTTTGTGGCCAATTCTACATTTCTCTGAACGCCAGGACGACGCCTCTTCATAGGCTGTTTGGAAAAGGGATGATAATAGAAATTCAAAAGTTAATCCAACATTATTAGGACTGATTTCAACAACAATACAACAATTTTCGACATTTTCAAAACAGTCCTGGATTACTTTTATTGAAGGAAATGTGGGAAACATAAAAATTTAACTTTTATTCGCTATACTTTTGAATATAAAATAAATAATTAGAAATAATTAACTTTAAGTAGTCAAGGAATATAATTTTGAGCCCCAGTACAGACTGCAGAGATAAAAAATAAGCTTCCGGAGCTTTTAAATGTCAAATAATAAATAATCATTCTGGTTTTCAGACTCCTTATAAAGACGCTGTTTTATTTTGTGTCAGAGTCTAGCCACTAATACAAAACGGTAACCAAAGTCTCCTAAGAACTAAGATAATAAAAATAAGTTATTTTTGCTTTATTATAAATGAACCAAAAATAAAGGTGATGTTCTTTCATGAAAATCGCCCTGTACATCCTAAACGTCTATTTAGGTACGTCAGTATTATACTGAAAACAGCCACAATAACCGACCAAATCTTTTATTCAAAAGAAGACGTAATGTCCATAGGATGAATTGAATGAGATCACAATTACGTAAGCTTTTCTGTATACACAGCCGTCTCCTCAGGCAAACGGTATTATTCCTTTAATAGTAAAACACCCTCTTTATTCTCCTTAAACTGTGTTATATAACTAAGCCGATGATTCGCCTCATTAAAAGCGAATTGGCTAGACGACGACAAAAGGATTTCCTGAAGAGTATCGTTTGCTTTGTGTAATTGAGTTCCATTCCAACTTTATTTTTGAGGAGAAAATGAGACGTAAAATGCTGTTTCTCTAATTATGGCATTATCTGATCTACAACAATGTTACTTTTTAATAAAATTATTTTGTTTTTCTACGTATCTTCTAAGTTTCTAGTCTCAGGATCTGAAAGTCAAAATGTTTTTCGTTGTTCACGTTTCAGATAAAGACATTGTATTTGCAGTGTTATCGATTGCATCATCTACGCTGTCGCTAGCAGATCTGGATAATCACCCACACGTCGAAACCTTTTCAATAGGCTGAATTTACCAGAAAGAATATAATTGCCTTCCCAAAGGACTGCTACTTTGAATCTTTCCAAGAAACTGTAAAAATATTCTTTCCGGACCGACCTATATAAAATTGTGTTTATCATAGACCGTATTGATGTTATAAATGAAATATTTCATTCACTACTTGGTCATTATTATTCCTGAGTCTTCTACGGTGAATGTTTCAGACGTGTCTTAATGTTGGTTGTGAAAATTAGTCCCAACCTGCCGAAATTAAATGTATCACCCCAACAACCATAATTAATTACGATTAATAATTCAGAGGGGCAAAGGGAAGGATTAAATCATTAGCAAAGGTCTTGAACGCTGTTGCTTTGTTTCGTGCCTCCAATCTCTGATGAATGCTATGTTTATTCGCTTGAAAATGTTGTTTCGGATTTTGGGTGTAAACATATGCAAAATTTAAAGCTTGAGGTTGACAATCTTACCACGCCTCCATTTAAATTAACCCAGCTACCAGCTGTCAATGTTTGTCTTCGAGCTTGTGGAACACCCTGTATAGCTGTGTACTTACTATTCCTACATTGTAGAACATATATCTCTAGCTTAAAATAAGAAGCACATCTTCCAACGTTCCCCAGACAGTATGCAATAATATTAGTGGACGTCAAGCATATTACGTTCAATAAAATAACACGGACGTGCTTGGCTGCTGTGTCAGGTATGGTTATGACGGCCTAGCATAATTTTATATTTCCAACAGTTTTCTACTACCTGTTATACTTAGTAGTGTTATGTAGGTACACTATGAGCTTACTTTGTGTGCAGTATAGCTGTAATATTCTTTTAAATTCGACGTGAAATTTATCTCATAAAATTTGGAGAGCTGCCAATAATGTAAGTTTCCCCTTCATTTAAATATAATACCTGCCGGATTGAGTGTCCCTCTCCCAATCAATTTTTCCACTTTAATTTATTGGCAAGGGCTCTTGACTATAACAGAAACGCTAATTAGAACAGAGGCTACAAAATTGCTGAATCAAAATCCAATTTGAAGTGGCGAGATACCGTTTCCGGAAAGAACGTCTTAAATTTATTATCAAATGTCGATTTTTGATTAAGAAAACTTTGTATCTAACTGGCATTTCTTTAAACTAGTTACTTGGAAACGACGTACCAGAACCATTTCCTATATTATTCAATATTAAAGGTTTTCCCTGTCAAATTGTCGACGTTTCGATACCTTTATTGTGTCTTTCTCAAGACTGCAGATAAACCAATCAATATAAGAATTACGCAATTCTTGCCATTTCGAATATTTATAAGACTGGGGATTTTTTTACCCAGATGAAGTACAACAAATTTGCACCTAAAGGCAACATCCAATCATTGCACCATTTTGCAGTGTTGCTTAGATAGGCTTGGAGCATAGCAGAGTCCATGTGGGGATTCGCATAGAGCTTGGCATTATCAGTAGGAAGAAACTCACGAGTTTATATGGTACAAAGATCAAACAACGAGCACTAAAACAACAGCGGTCCCAAAACCGATTCCTAGGGCACACCATAGGACTAGGACACCAAAAGTTCTGTCGCGAAGAATAAGACGATAGATTTCACTACAGAGTTTGTCCCTTTCTTGAATATTGGAGGTAAAGATGATTGCTTCCAGATATTTGGATGTACAAGCTTACATAATCACAGATAGAGGTAGAGATTTGTGAGCAGCATTTCTTTAAAAATTGTACACCCAATCCGTCGAGGGCAAGGGACGAATCATTTTTATTTCTTTGAATGTAAGCCTCGATTTTTGATTGAGGAAATTGAAGTTCGCCGAAAATATTATTAGAAACAGTATCAATTTCTTGCTGCACAATATTTAATTGCCATTTCGATATTTTAACTCTATCTATAAACAAATGACTAATAGGTCGATAGTCGTATTATACTTAACCCACTTCAGTGTTTGAAAAACCGCTAGATTAAAAATAAAAATAGTTTCCATTGCCTTTGAGTGCTGCCTCACATGAATTACGGCATTTACTTCATATTATCATTAAAATATCCGGTGTGTGGTCTGATAAAACCCTGCATGTTCGCTATGAATAATGTATTTCGATAATAAAGCGGCACTACCGAAATATTCGGTACGTCTTTCGTGTAATTCGATACAAAAAATATGGACTGAAGTGCTGTAAGCTATTTTTAATAATATCGTATCGTTATTTTTAAATAATATATTTAGAATGATAGAAAAATTAGAAAAAAATACTGAAATACAGTCGAAAAATGAAAAATATGAAACAATTATTATTATTATAATTAAAATTATATTAAATCTAACCCTTTTCACAATCGCTTTCATGAGTAGCATTGACGCAATCAATATTTTATTCAAATGGGAGAAAAATTGCATATATACTCCATTATTATTTCTACAAGTAGTTTTATTCCTGTCTAATTTATAAACGAATAAGTGCCTTAATCATTTATTCTTCAGCTATACATTTATCATACAATCTCAACTCAGTGTGAGTCTATTATATTATTCATCAAAGAAACAGATTTCCATACTATAGTCCTTTAAATTTGAGCCTAAAAAACTTATGCCTGCAATAAGTCACAATTAAGATACTGGAATGACCTAATCTACAATTCAAGTTACTATTTTGGTAAAAAAAAACCTCCAAGTTAACATGCAAATTGAGCTACCTCACACAAGATTGAAATCAGATAAGCAAAGAACGTATATACATATAATATTAGTGTGTAACAAGTGTATAATTATTTTTTTTACTACCTAAAGATATTTTCTCGCACCATTTTCAGAAAAATAATACATTTTTCTAAAAAAGCATCTTAAATAACACAAAAAGCTATCGATAGCTAAGATTCTGTGGGGGCTACGAAAACCCTTACGCCCTCCCTGTTATCGATGAGCCTAGACCTAGGAATCTTCTTAAACTTTCTTAAACAATAGACAATTCTTAGACAATAATATTAGTCTGTTTTCAGGTTTAAAATACAATCTCAACAGGGAAGAACGGAGGACCCTCCTGGAAAGCTACGAGGACCCGACCTACGACCCGGACGACAAGCGATACCCTTGGCAAAACGACCCTTTGGAGGCCTACAGAGAGATCGACCTTCCCGAAATAATCCGCCAGCTCTACGGCAACGACTTCGAGAAGCCCCATTCGAGGCACATCAACCACCAGCCTCACTATGAAACTCCGAGACACCACTATGAGTTCGGGGAGGTGTACAAGCAGTTCAAAGACTCCAGCAAGCCCTACCACAAGGGTTACGGCTTAGGTATTCCCAACACGCAGATTCTGGATGACGTGAGGATGTACCCGCAAGAAGACGATTTCAGTTTTAAGAGCGAGGACGACGGTCAGAAGGTCTATGGTCAGCCTAGTTTGGAGGAGCAGGAGAGGATGTTGTCGATGGAGAAAATTGGTTTGAGTGACGGCGGAGAAGCTTCAGGAGGTGGCATGCACCACGAGTACAGAGAAACCAAGTTGACAAGCGAAGAGCAGTTTCCTTCCGGGCAATATAAGTATGCCAGAGTTGCTGATGATCCTTCTGAGTTTGCCTACCCGCCGTCTGATCCGAGGTTCTTCGGAAAACAAGATTCTACAACCAGTTTAGGTATTATTTTTTTATCAATATATTAATTACCTACAGTTACAGTTATAAACAGAATACAAGGTTGTGGGTATAACCGAGATTTTAAATTCCCATATGTGATACGTACCCTAATTTGCAAGAGAGACAGCAAAAACAAAAAAAAAATCGATTTTTGACGGTTTTTTCGATATATCTCGAAAAGTAATATAGCAATCGATATATTGAAAAATACGAATCGATAGGTGTTTCTAATAGCTACAACTTTCTCATTTACCTTTTTTCGATTGGAGTTCAAGTTTTTTTTTATTAGCGAAAAACCGTTTTTTGACATTTATAAATATTTTAGGTTAACTTCGCTGTTTATGCGACACAGGAAAAAACACTTTCTTAGAATTTTTTTCCTATATCACCATATTTTTTGTTTCCAGGTGGTATTTTTTGTAAATTTAACATTAGATCGTGACAGATTGATTGGACTATTGTGCCAAAAGTAGCTTAAAAAAACATTTTGCAAGCTGTCAAGAGATAAAAATACATTTCACAAGAGTATATATTACACTAGAAACACAATACTGTTTCAAATACAAATTTTTTCTCCGTGGAACTGTGTTATTTTCAATACCAACCGTACAAATTTAATAAATTGGTAAGCTTTAAGAAAGAGTGCACATAATTTTATTCTCTGTAACAAACTGGAAAGATCCGTAACAAAGTTTTAAGGGTACAATCTTGTTTTCTGCGGTCGCAATAGAAGTAAGAACTTTTTTGCGTGGCTTTTTTAAATTAACTGAATTCAATTTCAGTATAAGTAGCTTACCCTTATCCGAGTATAATATATTAAATTTAGGCGCAATACATTTACATAGATGATGTTTATACGTTCTTGAGTCTCTCTTAATTAAAAGGAATATTTTTCTACCACGACAGTAAACAAACATTACAAAGGTAAGTATCATTTATTGATGTGTTATACATAGATGAAATTGTTGTTAGAGTTTATAATTATAATTTTTAGGCATCAAGATTTTCCTTTTTAGGTGAGTTTGAGTCGTCGTCCAATGGAGTTACATATTAAACAACTTATTCTAGGTATTTTCTGAGTAAGTACAGAAAGAATCGGCCATATCGACCATTATTTATCATACTGTAGATAAAATTAGCTGTGGATAGGCCTTTCAGATAAGATATTAATTATTTACCGAAAGAATTATTATCCTGTGACACCCGTGATGCTTTTTATGTTTAATGCACCTCTAGTCTATGTTTTATAATCAATTTCTTTACATATAGGTGGTATAACATCTGTTTAAAATTTAATATGTGTTGATGCTAAAAAAGTGTATCTGTTTAAAAATGTTCAGAGATTGTTGTAACTGAATGTCATAAATAAAATTATGTGATTAAATACTTTATAAGTAAATTCAAAACTTTAAAATTTCTCAGAAAATCAATACAACTCTACGAATCAAAAATGGACTTTTTTTAAAAAAATACAAAAAGAGTATTTAATTAAAATTTTTGAGTGCTTTTTCTAGATAGATTTTTTTTCAAATACAACTTTTAGTTACTGTTTTCTATTTCAGGATAAATTTACAGTGAAGACCTAAGAATTGTCGTTGAGGACTAAATAGTGACCTTCAATATCGAGCACCGTCGTTTTAGCAAATTACAACACTTTTAAAAACCACTAAAATGGTACTAAAACTGATACAATGCATTTTTATTCATATTTCATAACTTTAGTATGCTACATGTACATTGTATGTAGTGACATTGACATTTTTAACACAACACAAATTCCACTGGGGATATTGGAGGTGCCTTGGTACTGTTTCAATTAAAAAAAAAATGTTAGCGGGAAAATCGATTACTTTCTCAGAACTACAAAAAACTTTGGGCTGTAGAATATAAAAACAGACTCATATGTATCAGTATCTAACAATGTGAGGTTTATTGATCAAATTTAGTTTTATTGTGCAGTATTGTGCATAAAAATAGATATTGTATATGGAAGAGAAGAAATTGTGAAAGGCAATCTCCGAAATATTTTCCTAAAAAGATAAAAGGGTGTACATATTTATTATAACTTTTTATTCTGATATACAGAAAATACATTTTAAAATAATTTTGGAAATATAAGAAAATTATTCTTATTGAGATAACCATTTCTTCACATGTTTTTTAACAAGAAAAAAAATGAAATTTATTTACATGCGAGTATGTAGTTATAATTTTTTCATTCCACTAGCATAATTAATATCGTATTTTAACTTTAAGTTATAATGAATTCAAATCAAGTAGCAATTAATTTCCCATCTCTGAAAATTTCTGATTTTAAAACGAAGGGAAACTTAAAATTTAAAATGTAAATGAAAGCACCTACCTGAAACGACTCAAACAACTTCCTTAAGTTATGCATAGAATTCTAAATTTATAATAAGGGAAGATTATAGTTCCTGGAACTTTTCCTTAAGACAAATCCCTTTTGTTATGGTTTCGTCGGTTGTGGGATGAATGTTGTTAAGTTAACTACTAATCAATTTCTGTTTCAGTCTTTATTTTTCAGCTAGGTAGGGTGCGCCAATCAAGTTTCTCACTGCCGTTTCATCTTCATACCCATAGATGGCGTTGCTATACAAAGAAACTTTCGATCGCGGAAACAAAAATACATCTATTGGTTTATCTGGACACAGCAATAAGAATCTTAACAGAACTGATGATGTATATTGAAATTTGGTCTAATTTTAGTAATTTTGTACATAAAATGTTCATCCAACTGATAAATTATGTTATGATACATTATTAAATCATCATTTATTAAAACATTGTAATATATTTCTAGCTACATATTCTTTTTTATTAACCCTAACATCTCGAAGACCAATATTCATTTAAGAAATTCATCTGAATTTTCTTTGCCACAGTTATTTAAAAAAAAATGGTTAAAAAATCTTTACTAAATAGTATTTGAGAAATGTTTACAACTAATTACACTGACTAACCAAATAAAACATTTTTCAGACTCGAAGGAGCAAAAAACCGAAAAACTGACCGACACGAACACCTCGGAGAATCCCTTCAAAGTGAAGCTGAGGAGCGACCAAGTCCTGAGGAGTGAGGGTAGGGGGCAAGTGGACAACTTGAGTTTTAAAAGCAACGGAGAACTGCTGTCTCGGAATGGGGTGGACGTGGTTGCGGTGAAGCCCAGCATGTCGGACGTCAATTCTGCTGGCGTTTACATTATCGCAATTGTAGCTGGAATCAGCGCAGCTGCCACGGTCGGACTGATCGCAGTCGCCATTGGATGGTACAAGTAAGTTAATTTGATTGCGTTGTTAGTTCTTTCTGTCACTTCAATTTAACTTCTCTTCACTCGAATGTGGTAGTGAGTGAGCTGTGGGCACAAATCCAGAAACAATCTAGATCGCGTAGTCCATTTTGTTGTCATATAATAAGATATTAAAATTTGTTTGCAAATTTCTACAGTTTGTGCTTGAAGTAATCAACGAATTGTTTCAGCATGGTGATGGTATAACCCATCTTTAATGATCATTGATATAAATTAAAAATGGATTGGTCTCAGAACTGAGCCTCGTGGTACACCCATCCTTACGAGGCACTACACTGCACAGCCAACTTTTTATGGCGACATAGTTATGAGTTCTAATATTAAGGAAAGGTTTTACCAAACCCCGTATACCATAAATTAACAATATTTGACGGAATCCAATATCCTACTAAGACCACAAAAGATGTCAATAGTGCACTGTCAAGCTCAATGAAGTTTTGGTGGTACTAATGTTAAAATGCAGACTTGTTTTGACTAAAACTTGTTTTTTTTTCAATTCATTTCAATCAAACCCACAGGCTGTATCGATAATAGTTGAAAAAGTATCGACATACAGATAAATAGACAATTTTTATTTAGCGGAAGTGTACATAAAATATTCACCTAATACTAAATAACAAAAATATTATTTAAAACATAATCCGTATTCCTTAAAATACAGTAAATTATAAAGAAAACCTCTTTTCTGGTTGTTCCCTCAACATCGCAGCGGCCTTCTCGACAGTTAGATCCCTTTGAGCCTGCGCTAGCACCTCATAACCAACCATGAACTTCTTCACAGTTGCCGATCGTAACAGTGGAGGGATATAGATCCCGTGGAAGGTCCAGTGTGGCTGACACTCTTCCAGTTTATCACCAGTGGGTGCCCCATGCCAACCCATGGAGTAGGGAAATTTGCATTTGAACAGGTTATCATACTTGACTACAACCGTCTGTAGAACCTGTGCCAAGGCCTCTTTCTGCCTATCATCCACGTCTGTGAAACGCTGGATTTGACGCTTTGGTAGTACCATGGTCTCGAAAGGCCAAACGGCCCAGTAGGGCACCACAACCACCCACTCGGAGTTCTCGTAAACGATCCTCTCTCGCTTCTGCAGCTCCTTCTCCACGTAGTCTTGAAGCATGGGCTTCTGGTATTTGTCATAGAACTTCCTCAAGTTAATATCCTTGATTCTAGGCTCGTTCGGTAAGAACGTGGACGCCCAGATCTGACAATGTGGATGGGGATTCGAGCAGCCCATCATGGTACCACGGTTTTCGAATATCTGGACCCAGGTGTATTCCCGCCCCAGTTCTTTCGCTTGCTTTATCCATTCGTCTATAACAGCCACTATTTCCTTAGTGGATAAGTTGTAAAAGTACACGTCAGTGTAAGGGTGGTAACATATCACCCTACATGTACCCTTGGCGGTTTTTGTTTGGAATAAAGGATCGTCGCTTTCGGCTGGTTCGGGACCTTCTTGAAGCAACGCCGGAAAGTCGTTTTCGAAGACGTAGGTCGATTCATACTTAGGAGTCACTTTCCCCGACGCTCGTGTGACACCAGGACACAAAGGATTCGTAGGGTCAAATCTGGGTACTTCTTCTGTTGGAGGTGTTTCTGTTTGGCCGCTCCATGGGCGTAGGCTTCGGTGTGGGGATACCAAAACCCATTCGTCTTTGAGTGGATTGTACCTCAAGTGCTGATGTTCTGAAAAGTTCGACATTGTAATATGTTCTAAATGAGTAAATAGCTTGTAATAGGAATTTAACGTTAGACCTTTGAAGATGTTTTTTGAACTAGTTTTTTAATCTTTTATCTGAGTCTTCAACACAGGAGACGAATCTATGATCATGTCTGTGCTGGATAGTGCTGCTGATAAACGATTTTCATTATATAATCTCGAATTCTCATGATTGTTCAATGTTTTCTTTAAAAAGTTCTAGGAACTATTTAATCGACTGTCTTTTTAAAAATAACTTAATCAAGATTCGATGTGTGATATGAAAACAGCAATGAACTTTTACACGCTTTGTTGAAGATTACATTTACATGCCAGTTCAATTTTATTAACACTCATTTATCAGTTTGCATTATGTAGTGAATAAATAACTAATTACACTTGTCTTTATCTAAACATCTGATAAAGTATATAAAAATATTGTTCCGCAAATGTGCTGTTATTTCTCGAAAACACTTATTCTACTTTTCCAGGGGATATTATCTGTACAAGTTGATAATGTTCCAAAACGTCGATTAGTTCATTTTGATTAGTAACAAAAAAGCAATATGTACGAATTTAATGCTAATAAAAAGAATTAAAAACATTTACTGCTACTCTATCTGCTAAATTAAAGGCAAATCACCGATCAAATATTCAGTGGAATGTCAACGAACTTTCAATGTAAGTGACATTTCTACTTGAAGCAAGAATGCGTATTAGATTTAAGTAAAATTTGACATGTAAGTGCAATATAACGTTTCTTCACTTACCATTTGGGTTAAATGTCATGTTCTCATTAACAAATTATTTGAGAGAGTTTAGTAGTAAATAACCAGGTCTGTCAAGTAGCTGTACTGTCTAACATCACGCGTTGATGCTTACTGCTCAAGCGTAACACTTGTACTAAGTAACAAGGTCACTGATAATCCACGATAAATTTAAAAACACCGTTCCTGGTCCTGCGCGTTCAATTGGTGCATTATAAACTAGAGCTGCAAGTTACATCACTTAAAATATATATTCTTTTGTTAATCAAAGTCATCTTCATAGTTATCGTCACATCTTATCGGTATCACGCTACTCTTGACATAATATTCTACATAAACTATCTAATTCAATAAAAATTCACAAGTACCTTTTGTAAAATTTGTAAAAGCGTGCAAATATATTTTTATATTTTCAAATTTGGTGTGGTGTTTATATTTGCACATGTGCATAATTTACTGTAAAATTTACAAATTTTTGTAGGTCAGTGACGTAGGAATGGGTATTGTACATCCTATACAAAGCGAAATATGGTTAGTGGAAGGGGACTTATTTTGGGGGGAATACTCGAATCTATGTACTTATTCAACGTCAAATAACGGAAAAAGGATTAATTTTACGTGTATAACGCTGTAAGAGTTTTTTGTAGTACCTACCCAAAAAGACCTTCAAAGTGAGCACTTATAAAAATTAATTAGAGCAAGGAGTTATCGTCAAAAACAGATGGGTTCCTCATATTTTTTAAGGAAAAATGAGCAGTAAACGCTGTACCATTTCGATCAGAATTAAAATTTATCGTAGACCCTTTACAATTAGTTTTGTTTTAGTGTTTTTCATAGGATCCTGAAGCTAGACCGGTTTAGAATGCGTATTTTTTTAATAATATACTGTAAAAATTGAAAACGTATTTTTCATTATTCAAAAAAAATTGCCTTATTTATATAATAACTCTGAAACCATGAAATATACGTAAAAAATGATAGACAACAAAAATGTAGCTTTGTTTTCAACAAATATTTTGCTTTTTTTATTCCTATAGCATAAAAAATAAAGGAGATATCGCCGCTTAGTGAAAAAACAACCGCTCTCGAGCCGTTCGATCCCTTCCCTTTAAAAAACGAAGGACTTAAAAGGTTTTATATGCAAACGATCTTACAACTCTTGAAATTATCTTTAAAATGCCTTTTTGTAGGATACTATAGCTTCAAAATTAACCGAGTTATGGTAAAAAACCAACGACATTTTTTCGGAGCAATATAGGCTTCCTCATTTTTATATATTATATATTATATTAGAATAAAATAAGTAAAAAAATTAGTGTGATTATTTATATGCAGCGTAGCAATTTTTTTATGATTGATTATATTTAAAAATTGATTATAATAAAAATATTTTACATTAATATTGGTAAAAGGGTAGTTTATAAGAGTTGAAAATGGCAAAAGTAGAATATTCTTTTTTAAATTATTGCACAATCATATCATTACAAGATTTAAAACGTAATTTTTTATAATTTTTTTAGCACAGGGGTGATTTATAAGGGTTGAAAAGTGTTATGAGATACAAATTCTTTCATAAGCAATGAGGGAATTTTTATTTTAAATAATTGCACCGTTAAAGCATTCCAAGCTTTTAAAAAGTAATTTTTTATCATTTTTGTCAATACAGGGGCGGTTTTTAGGGGTTGAAATGGAAAAATTCATTTATTAGCTATAAGGTAATTTTTATTTTAAATTATTACACGATATAATGATTCCAAATCTTTAAAAAGTAATTTTTTATCATTATTTTTTACATAGAGGTAGTTTTTAAAGGTTAAATAAAGGGTCGAAAAGATCAAATATATCATAAAACATGTTCGAGAACATGGAACATTATTTAATCTTTGTGCTTGAACAAGATTTTTATCAATAAAATGCTTAAAACTTTTTAAATTTTTTCAATTTTTTTCACTTAGGGGTAGTTTTTATCCCTAAAAAACAAAAAGCGTCAATCGGGCTTATGTTACTTTTGAACTTGAGCCAAAGATGAGCCTTATTCTAAATTTTCATGCAAATCCATGCAGTTTCAAAGAATTCGGAGGTTACAATAGATTTTCAACTTCAATGACTGTACTAAATAATCATTTGGGATTCATTTTTAGATTTCGTGGACAGTTTTGCATAAAAAAAGCTATACTTGTTGAAAATCTGTATAGGGTATCGTTTTACCCATGCTTTATAAGGCAATTCTGAATTATTTATTGAGTTCTATTTGTGGTTAAAGTTTGATTCACTCGAACTGAAGCACCCTGTATACTTTTTAATTCTTCCACTTTTCAGAACAAAGTTGTAAGTACTGAACATTATTAAAATTTCATTCCAACAACTTAAGAAATTACTTTCAAAAACAAACCCGCGCCTGTCTTTCTATGTAATTCTAAGGGTTTTGAATGTGCTTTAACACATTAATTTGTTAAATTGAAGCACTAAAGCGTCTCCAAAATAACAGTAACAATCTAGGCGTGATTTCGAGTCGAATAACCTCATTTTCCGTAGAAGTGAATTTTAATAAGTTAAAATTCTACCTTCGTAGCCTTAGTCAATTACTTTCCGAATTCTCCTTTTTTTTCCTTCTTCACTTCTCAGCATTCACGGACCCGTTATTGGCTAAATTCTCCTTTCTCAGGTCCCGGCGTATTTCCAGAAATACAAGCAACGTGTTGTCGTCTAAAATATCGCGAATTCCTTGTTCATCTACAGCTGGGGAATGCAATAAAGAGATATTAAACCGCTTATATCGAACTTTTGCGTCTCCCACAACGATAAGATTATAAGCGCTCTATTAGGATACGCGAAAATTAATGGTTTACCTCTCAGAAGACTCTCAGAGTAACCGCTCTCAATTTTCTCGTAACGACCATTTTTTTTAAATCAAACAAATATTAAAAAAAATGCATGGTTATAGATAAAAAACACCGGGTTTACGGTTAATATTTTTCTTATGAAGCGGACGCCACACCTGTGGAAAACTTCGATCTTGCCCAATTTCCAGTGACCACCCGAAGAGTAAAATAATCGGAAAATTTGGTCCAGTCCTAGCGAAATTGAATCCCGATGTTGAGGTTTAAGCCTTAATACATTTTTCTTCGCCCACGCTTATCGTATCCATTGTCCACGCTCGCAATATGAAACATTCGAAAAAAAAATTGCAAATGTCTGGAATCTCAGTTTCAACGACTCATAATTCCATGGCGGAAGGCCGCATGAAAAATGGCAGACGAGTAAGTGAAAGGGGGTAGAAGGATGCTAATTTATCACGGCAATAATAAAATGAAGCGTGTATTTTTCAAGTCTCGGGAGTAATTAAACTGTCTCTAGGCTTCTAAGGCGGCGCTCAATCACTTCCTCTAGAAAATCCGAGCGAAAAGGAACAGACCGATTTAATTTAAAGTACAGCGTATCGTGAAGGTAATGTTTTGAAACGTGGACAAAAAAGTACCTTCAACCGGAACTTTTAAAAAGATATTATTTTGAGCTGAAAAGTAAATTATTGCAATGTACTGCATGTTTAAATCTCGAACAGTGGCAACAATCCTTTGTTTTTACACCTCTTCATAGGGGACCATCTAGCCGGGTGTCTTGGCCGGTGTATTTCGATCTGCCGAGGTAAGCATCACGGACGCAGGCTGGAATTTGGATGGGTGACCTAAGGCAGGCTCAGGGACGTGGCTGTGGCAGCCTACCAGAGACCTGGGTCGAGCAACACTTTCCGCATGCGTGTGGTCCCCGATAAATGGTAATGAGAACAGAGCAAAGAAAATCTCTGTTGCCACCCGTGTAGTAAATAGAATAATTTGAAGAAAATTACTCGACTAATGAAGGAGGGTGTACAAGGGGCCTAATAAGGCCTATGTGCCGCGGTGGAAAAACAATTGCACCACCCTCCGACATACATACATACATACATACATACATACACCTCTTCTTCAACTTCAGTGTTTTTTTACTAATTTCATTCTTGGAATAGTAAAATTATCTATTGTAGTATTCAGTATGTAACATCCACAATATACCTTCCTTCACTATTTGCTGTATCGCATTAAATTTACTAGATATAAATCATGCCAAATCATGCCAATAATCTGTAAACCAAAACTTCTATAACGTACTTCTGTATAGCCCTAAAACTTCTAGAAACTTACCAATTACACGTATCAAGTTTCTGAATATATTAGTCTTAAATGAAGCAGCTTATTTAATGTTTAAATATACCAATTCGCCTTTGATATATGCGGTTGCTTATGTGTATGATCCAGAAAGTTTTGTATACCTCCCAGTATTTTCGAGTATTCAGTTGGAAACCCATACGGTTTTGTTCAAATGTCATTAGGTAAGATCTTAGCAGAGATAAATCCCCAGAGCTAGAATTAGAAAATGGTTAAGATTATTGCAAGATACTAACTGAAACTCGTTATCTTTTAAATTTGATTTCGCCCTGAAAGTTTGGAACGATTCAGTCACACCTACTCCCAGAGCAATTTCAAGTTGCATAATTAAATTTTGTTCAAGAATAATATCGCTAAACATTATCAAATTAAAACAACTAATCTGAATCTTCTAAAGCAATTAATTTCGACCTAACACTGATTAGCTCAAGGATCATTGACAGCCAGACTAAATAAAATCTCGCAGTTATTAAACATAGTGGAGTCAAGATAGATTTTGACTTCGCGAAAATTACTGGATGATAGAACTTTTTATTTTTCGCTTTGTAAAGTTGTCAGAAACAACATATAAAAAGTTGCCAACTGTAGAGTGTACGCTAAATTGTTTATTTAACAAATTAGTTGCAAAATTACAGTTTTTGCAAAATATATAAAAAGATATAATTTAAAAAAAAATTAACTGCGCCATTCGAAAGAATACAAAATTTTACATAAAAAATGTTAATAAAGTTTTTTTCTAAAATGCGAATTGAAGGCTGTAGAATTTTTTTTCTAACGTACAAAAAATGAGACGGGCGGCCCCGAGCGCGCTACACTAAACTTGTTATAGCTTTTGATCTAATTGATCAAATCGACCTCACAAAAATTTAAATGAAAGAAGAGTCATCCGGCTATTAAAATTTTATGTCTTTAAACTTGAGAAAAAAAATATATAGTACGTATACAAAGTTACGTCATTCTATAATTTTGTACAATAATA